GCACGCCGACTCAGCCTTCGACGTATGTTTCGAGAACATCTTCACCTCGTCCGGCTCGTCCAAGAACATCGCACCCCGCCACGTCGAGCTCGACATTGACATTGGCGCCGACGCCAAGGACTGGAACGCCATCCAAGCCGTCGACAAGCTGAAGCCTGTAGAAGCGGAACTCAGGCGGATCGAGGAGACGGTTGGCGAGATTGTCACCGAGATGGATTACCTGAGGAGCCGGGAGCAGAAGCTGCGTGATACCAATGAAAGCACCAATGAGCGGGTCAAGTGGTTTGCGCTGGGCACTATGGGTATGTTGGTTGGATTGGGGGCTTGGCAGGTTGTATACCTCCGCGCCTACTTCAGGAGCAAGCATCTAATCTAGAGATGTGGAGTGGAGAGGAAGACTTGGAATATGGTCGTTTTGGTTAAGAAAGAGACGTCAGGTACGGATGAGTATGGTTACGAGTACGGAGCGTTATGGCCTGCATACTTCACACACGATTGGAGCGGCGTTGGTAGGACATATCCAGATTTCAAAACATGTTTACAATAGTTCAAGACGTCTTCCCAGCCCACAACTTAATCTCTGCGTCCCTTTCTCTGGTACTCTTCCCATAAAGCCACTGGCGTCCTCTCCTTCTCCACAGCCCTGACACCCACTACCCAACCCACGCCCCTCACCAACCCAAACAAAACCAGTATAATAACCCATTCCAACCACGCCTCCACCTTCCGATTCCACCGCCCCAACCAAAACAGATCCGGCAATCTATCTCTAACCCTCAAATAAACATCAATCGACAACGGCCACCAATCCCTCCCCTCCCCCAACATATTCCTCAATCCCAGCACCACAGGCCAATTATCCAACTCCCAAAACACATTCCACAGCTGAAACTCGACCCACCAACGCCCCAAAACCCATCGCGCAAAATGCTGAAGCGGAGGCAGCGTCGTGGTGGACGGTGCCTGAATAACCGCATTCAAATTCCAGAAGAACAGCGCTTTCGCCCCATCCGCCGGCTCCGTCCATTCCTCCACCACCACCTCGTCGTCGATATCAGCCGGAAAGCGTGGTCTGACACAAGATGGTCTGTGTTTCGCTAGATACTCTCTCGCTCTACCCCAGTTATGCCGTGCGTACTTGGGGATCTGTATAACTAGTCCGGGTTCAGTCTTGTAACTGCCGTACACGCATACCTCGCCACCGGCCGCAGCGCTCAGTATCCTGGTTTGCCCGTCTAGGTACACGAAGATGGAGCCGCGGACGAGGTGTAAGTATTCTGTGTGGAGGGTGTGGAAGTGGAGGCCTGATGTCCATTTCGAGTAACGGGGCAGAGAGATTGTGGTTTTGGATGTGGATTGAGTGGAAGGGGGAGGGGAGATGGGGATGTGGTAGGTTACTGCGGAGGGCCCTGGGCGGATGACGGGTTGGGTTCCTGGGGGAGGAGGGTCTATGACTGTAGGGGAGGGGACGGGTTTGGAGCGATGAAGACGCCTGGGCATCTCGGCCAGATTTGCAGCGTGTTTTGGTATAAGTTGAGTTTCTTTGAATAGAGACCAGAGAAAAGGTGATGGAAAGTGAGATGTAATCTCGAGTTATGTAACGTTCGGTGTATTTTCTGTGGAATGATTCAAGTCGAGGCCCTGCGATAACTGTGCCGCAATGTAGTGGGGTAGCTATACAACATATATGTTGAAGTGTAGTCTGGCTGCCTAAGCATACTGTGTGCTAATCAGCAAGGGGCGGCTGACGTTCGTTAGGTACCTAGGTACTGTAAGACAAGCGGAACGAGTCCGCACCGGTAGCAATATGCAAGCCACTGTACAGAGCTCTAGCGTACCAAACTCTAGATCTCGTTGACGACAAAGGCGCAAGCATAGTAATATTTTTGTTTAGATTGATATCAGTATGTGGTAGTGGTAATGCTTGTACAAAGCTGTTGATAACACAAACGCCTCCATTCATCCCATTCATCCCATCCATGTTCCCTCCAAAAGCTCCAAGGCAAAAATGCCATACATACGATATGTCCAATACGCCATGGTACATATCTCATCAGTCAGACGCCGCGATAAGTATAAGCAAGACACCGCTCCTTTATCTAACCAAGTCGCCATGCTAGAACGATCAAGAAAGAAGCAGTAGTAGTAGCCAGGCAAGAGAGGTAAGCTATGCATTTGAACGCCGGAAAACAGTATTCAAAAAGGAGGAAGAAAGAGAGAAAGACTAGAGGTGAGCAAATTATTCGCTGTCTCCCTCAATCTCCTCTTCTTTCCCACCAGCAGTAATGGCAATGCGCTTCTTGGGCTCGCCCCACATTTGCTGTCGAACCTTCTTCTTCTGGTCGTCTCTCAGCGTTTTCAGGAACCCATATGTACCCGTCAGGTCGTTCAATTGCTGGTCCAAACCGAAGCTGTTGCTCTGCGCCGCACGGATCAGAGGGCTAATGAGGTTCTTGCGTGCTTTGTCTAGCTGGTCTCTGACGGAATGGATAATTTGGATATGTACTTTGAGCTCGGATTTGTTGATGAGGGTTGATGCGCGCACGTCTTTGAGTAGCTTGAGATTCTTTTCGTACTTTTTGATCTTCATCTTGTTGTTGATGGAGGTGCGCCACATGGAAGCGAGGAACTCGTCTTTGCGGTTTGCGAGCGAGTCTTCTTCTTTGGCGACGGAGCGGTGGAGGTTGTGGAATTGGCGGTCTACACTCTCGAAGAGTTGGAAGAGGACGTCTGCGCGCGCGAGCTCATTCGCAATGTTCTCCTCTAGAGTGGTCAGGAGGTAGTCGAAGGTGCGCTGCAGGGTAGCTTTCGACCGCTGTTGTGTGGTGTGTCCAAGGATATCGTTGACAACACGGCCAACGGCTGTAGCTTCGCCGTTGCGCTCAAGCAGGCCAATCGCGTTGAGGCCGCCGTGGACATTGTCGATGACTGTGTCAATCATGCCAACCTTTGGGCCCTGAATACTTGCTAACTCTCGCTTGGCCCATTCCATAGTAATGAGGATGCTACAGTTATCAGTAGGTGTATGAGGTCAAGAAGGCTATACCTACGAGTCCATGTCGCCATCTACGTTGGTAAAGAAGCTGGTAATCTTCTCGGATAGGATCCTGAGACTATCGCCTAGGTCGTCTAGCTGATCGATGATAACAGGCGACGCAGACATGTTGGTCGCGCGGACGCTCTCTCCCAGGTCTTGCACGGCGATGCTGGCGTCTGCGAGCTCGCGCGACCGTGGAATGACACTCTCTGAAGCGTATAGCAAAGGCTCAAACTGTTTCGCCATGCTGGCGACGTTTGCGACATCAGGAATAAGACTGGCTTGCCAGGGATGCAGCAATAGGTAAGACATTAAAAGAGTCGCGACAGTAAAGATAAGGTTGGCTCTTGACCTCGTAAAGATGTGAAGGCCACTTGCGAAGGTGGTGATTGTATCTTCGATAGGCGCTGTGCGGAACTTAGCTTCTCCTCTGTACGCAAAGCGCATGACTATAGCTGTCAGTATAAACAGCGCGCATTGATTCGCGTTACTTACAACCCTCGACTGGCCCATCGTCATGTTGCGACAACGTCGACTCGGTCCCCGCCAATGCGCCCGCGCTCGGTTGCGGCTCCTCCTCCGGGCTCTGTAGTCGCGACGCAATGTTGGTCGACATGTATCTCTGCTCCTCCTCGGGAATGGGTTCGGGGCTGGTGCGCGGTGTTTGCTTGTAGGGCGACTCTGGCAGTGGTATGCGCGAGGGTGTGACGTCGCGATCGGTGCGGTACTCAAACGGCGACTTGGACGGGCTGTTGCGCATGGCGCTTTCACCAAGCAGCGACTTTCTGTACCAGTGATTGCTAGATTGCGACTTTTGCCATGCGGGTGGCGCCCACGGCCCGTCCGACTCGGTTTCACTGTCTACCTCGTCCTGGGGCACGCTCCAGCGCGACGAATGCATGTTGGAGCGCCCACTGTAGGCCGAGTGCATGCTGCGCTCCGGGTCGAAGGCTTCGAGCGACGCGCTCAGCGACGGGATGTCGTGCTCGTATAAGCTCCCGCGATCGGTTGTGTCCATCATGGTTTGCGCGCAGTCGCTGGTGGCGGAGGAATGGGAGGAATGGGCGGAATGGGAAGGCTGGCTCGCCGTCTCAGCTATGCGGTACTACGGGCGTGTCGAGGCTCTGGCGGGCACATGGGAGTACCCTTGTGACGCGTGAATCGGGGCAGGAACCTTGCAGGTGGTGGGTGCCTAGCGCTTTGGTCAAGACAGAGTCGAGAGGGAATGCGATCATGGTGGAGGAGCCCACAGAGCGTCCCCGTATACCGCCGATAAGCTAGCCCGCCTATGCGAGCGCATCTAATCGCCCGTGTGCTGTCCAGGGCTGCAGTGGGGTGAAACGGAGTGGCTGGGAGCTGAGTCTTGATTGGCTGTCGTCCATCCGGGCTAGTGCGGGGAAAGCGCGACCGCGACCCCGTGACGCCCTGCAGCACGCATTCCGTACCCTTGCAGCCCACCATGCCCGTCCGAGTGGTGACGATAACATTAAGCAGTAAGCCCTTGGTCTTTGCGTCCTCAAGCTTTCGAGTAGAGTCCAACACCACTCATCGCGGAGGGTGCGCGTTGCGGAGTTGCTGCTCTCCGATTGGCTGTCATCGCTGTGGAGCAACACTGCGGGACGGGGGCGAGCGACTGACTTACATGATATGCACCATACTGGGTACTAGCTCCATCTAAGACAGCAGTGACCAATGAGCAATGCCCGACGATCAATGCAAAGGAAGAGTGCAGTCAAGCAAGAAACAAACCTATCGCCAATTCTAGATGGGCACAGGTGGGGACAGCTGAAATAGATGCGCAAATGGAGGCAAAAGCAATGCGATCTCAAGGGTGCAAGGTGTATACATCGACTTGGAAGGTTTTCCAGCCACAACCATCTGACAGCCTGGAGCTGATCAATAACTTTAAGATTGAATTTAAGCCAATACAAAACACACTAACTTCCTCCCGGCCACCTTATATTCAACAAGTCTGAAATTTGATTATGGCGGCCGTCTGCAGCGGAGCAAGGAGATGGCGGACCAGCTGCCCAGGAACAACTTTGGCCAGTTCAACGGGCAGCCAGATTGGCCCATTTGTATTGCCATGATCGACCAACGGTGCTTGCGGAAAATCGAGCTTGATACCGTATGTCTGCCAGAAGCAGTGTGGAACGGTTGGATGGGTGGCCCCTCCATCGACGACCTTTTCGAATGTGACGTTTGTACTATTCTTTCCGTATACGACGAAACCGATGATGTTTTGCACCTTGCGTTCGGTTCCTTTATCCTCCTTGTTGCGGCTGTTGTGGTCTTTGGTGTGATTTGTCTCGACCTTGACTTTCTTGAAGAAGTCCGAGACCTGCTTAACTATACAGTGCCAACTTCTTCGACGGTAATCTGATACGTGTTCCCCAGACGAGCATTGGCCAGACCGATTTCCTCGTTATCTGTTGGCGGAGGAAAACGATCACTACCTTTGGGATTGTATATAACAGTGCATTCCAAGTCGAGTTTCAACTTGGCTAGAGACGCAACCTTGGAAGGTTCTTGTTCCAGTCGGTGGCAATTTTGGCTGTTGAAAAGAGCGGCATGCTCAAAAGGAGTTCAATCAACCGCTTACTCCGGGGCTTGAAGAATTTGTCGCCGGATGATGCAAGCGAGTACCGATACAGGTCTGTATCTGGCTTGACTCCCTTGAGCTCGAAGAACTTGATCCACAGCATGATAGGTCTTCCTTACGTCAGGCCATATTGTGTTCGTTAAGTAAAAGCAGAGGCTGATGGAGCGATTTAGTACAAGTGACTTGAGAGTAGGGAAGAGACAAAGCGTAGGATATTTACTATGAGATCGTGACTGCTACAAGAGCGATGGACTGACGGGCAACTGAAACCTTTCGACACCTGGACGGGGCAGGCTCACCTCAACGCCCAATGGCGAACGGCCATGGCGTCTGTCTCACCGGTTCCCTTCGCCCATGTGTAACGATCTCTACGAATCAGCTCGTTCTGCGGAAGTCGCAACCCAACCTGCACCGTGGAGATATACGCTACATCATGTATCGTAGTTCTGCAGCCTGCAATGCATGGAAGGCCTTCAGGGTACGTTTTGAGCGAAGGTGCTCATGAAGCATCTTGGATCTGGCAATATCAGATCATGGTGGTGATTTGCCGAATACGTTGTGATGGATCTGGGGTAAAGGCAAACTGCGCACGGACGTTGTAGCGCGACATCGGCTTGAATATTCGGCGTCACTTTGCAAGAACATCACCAAGCCGACTCCACAACACATCACAATGCCGCCACGATTAAACGTCCCCGCAATCACGCGCTCGATCGCGTTCCGAACAAGGCCTCAGGCTCAATGGCCTGCTCGGTCAGCGCTTCGAATGGCGCCGTCGCAATACCGCCTCTACTCGGATCAAACCAAGCCTCCCGCCGCCGATCGATCGAAGCGAGAGGATGCAAAGCCGATTGAACATGTCTCGGAAGAAGCAGCCTCGATGGCGAAGACGATGGGAGAGGACGGTCCCGACCTTAACCAGGGCACACCAATTGAAGATGTGGGGTCATCTACAGCAAACATGGCAAGGCGAAGGCTGACAGTGTGCTAGGTAGTCAAGGGAGACAAAGAGGCGCAAGCGAACCTGCCCAAGGTGATGCAGGACAAGCTCAACTCGCAAAAGCCCAAGACTACACCGAACATGGCACCCAAGGGCTCGCGGTCCTATTCGACGATGACGACACAGCCAAGTGGAAACAGCGGCGTGGACATGGGTCTCGTAGACTTCCAGGCTGCCTCCAAAGCACCAACGACCCCAGGACTCAAGTATGAGATGCCCACTCTGCCGCTGCCCAAGGACGGCCATGTCAAGCATCGCCACGACCCCGTAGTCGACCAGGTCACCAATCTGCTCATGCGACACGGCAAGAAGAGCGTTGCGGAGCGAGTAGGTCAGCCAGCCTTGAACTGTAACCTACAAATAACTGACTTGACGTGCAGAACATGGCACTGATCCTGCAACACCTTCGCACATCACCGGTTCCTACCATTAACCCAGCACGACCTCTGCTTCCTGGTGCGCCGCCACCATCGCATCTACCCCTCAACCCTGTGCTTTACCTCACTCTCGCCATTGACTCTGTCTCGCCTCTGATGCGCATCCGAAGTCAGCGTGGCGCTGCTGGAGGTGGTGTTGCCCTTCAGATCCCGGTTCCGCTGGGTCAAAGGCAACGGCGACGTTCTGCTATCCAGTGGATCCTGGCCGCAGCTTCTAAACGAAGAAATATGGGCAGTGGAAAAGGCAGCTTTGCCCAGCGTATTGCGCAGGAGCTCATTGCTGTAGTACAGGGCACGAGCGGCATCTGGGACAGGCGCAATGCTATCCACAAGCTTGGTGTCGCTGCACGAGCTAACATTGTCTTGCCCAGGAAGAGGTAGACTGCTGTTAACTAGGGAGCCTCCATGTATAATATATTTATTGATGCCTGCACTCGTATGCATCTCTTTTCGCCTTGCGTCGGTTGATTCGGGAATGATGAGGTAACTTTCATTGTTCTTTTGGCTAGATCGCAGGAAGCTCCACATGAGAATCCATGGATGGAGCGACTGCCAACACAGCACAGCCACACCCTGGGCTGCTTCACTAATCGCCAAGCATCATATGAAAGATGCGCGCTGCTGTTGAACTGCTCAGATATGCGTGCGCCTTGATAAACCAAGACTAAGAAGAATATATCGCAAAGGCTTTCAATATCCACGCGTTGTTGCCTATTCATACCAGAATCGTCACTCGTCCCTGCGTCAGCGGCGTGGCAGTCTCTGGTGATCTTCGCCTGCCAAGCGCTGCCAAACCGCCAGATGTTGAGGGGAGGGGTTTCATGCCCACTTCGCACCGCCTGGACCAAGAGCACCCGCGACCATCGACGCGCGCTGACTGTTCGTGCATAGCTTCATCGCCTGCTGCTCGCGCTTTGACTTCCACATGTCGTCCGCCTCCATCAACCTGCTAGGGAACAACTTGTTCTCCGACAGCGGTTAGCTACACTGTATACTACGGTTCGGCCCGCCATCGCTTTCAGCTACTGCCAGCTGCTACAGTCTTTGGAATTGCTACCCCACCGCTGCTATTAGTCCATCCCATCACGCGCTCACCCCACATCTTTCCAGACGACTGCGCTCGGGACTGCATCGCTGCTATTTGTAGCCCCTTCACCCGACAGCACACAGCACCGCCTATGATGCCATAGCGCGACGCCAATTGATACCTTAATCACTTCTGCTACCCCGCGAGCACGACCGCGTTCTACTACCAAACTTCCACTCCGACCAGCCGCCAGCCTCACTCACTTACTCCACAAACTCCACAGCCCGCACTCCACACGCGACTCCGTGTCTTCTCGTCCAGTTGCACACCGCCACCATGGCGTCACTCGAAGCTGCTATTGACGAGGAAATGAGAGAGGTTGTTAAGATTCTCGAAGGCAACCAAAAGCCCGGCGCACGACGCGCAGAAAGCCCAGCCGCGCGCGCGCAAAGTCCTGGCTCCGCTGCCTCGCCCATTCGCAGCATGCTGGACGTCGACTCGCCGGCCCAGCGTAGGAGCTCCAGCCGCGGCAGCACTGGCATCCCCTTCGCCATGCCCTCGTCACCGCGTCGCGTGAACCCCGAATCGGCGTACAAGTTCGAAATGCTGCCCTCTATCGACGCACATGCCATGCCTAAGCGAGTCTCGCAGGGTGGCAAGCTGGATGCCGCTGCGAAGCCGCGTGCCATGTCCTCCGTCTATGGCAACTCCAGCGGCTTCCTAGGCAACTCCAGAGATAGGCACAACTCCGCGAGTGGGCCCTTGGGCAGATCCAAGTCTGGCTCTCCAGGGCCAGGCCGATCTGCCTCTCCAGTAACGCGCATGGCGAACCCAACGCCGGCCGCACCGACATCGAACAATACCTTCGTCACAGACTCGGGCAAGCGCATTGACATGGACAAGGCATATCGCAAACTGAACGACTCTGCTTTGGCACAATCTGAGGGCGGATTGGCCTCACTGCCGAATCGCAAGGGTGTTGATCCAGTCAAGGGCACGGCCACCGCGCCCGGTGGAGGCGTGCGCCTGGCGACAGACGACGACGGTGAAGATAGTGCTGCTGTCGAAAGTAGTGACAATGCCTCGGATAGCTCAGATTGGGAAGACGGGTGGAACAAAACCAAGGAGAGAAAACGAGGCAGGCAACGGTCGAGAAAGTCGTCCGGAGGCACCGACAGCATGGGCAGAGAAGTCATCACTGCTAAGAGCCTGCTGGCTGCTGCCGAGCAAGAGCGTAAGCATTGCAACCTACCTATATTGACTTGTACATCTCACTAACTCCACACAGGGCGAGATGTCGCCGTTTCCTACAAAGTACGATCATTACTAGACCCCAACATAAACATTACTGGCCCCAACGGGGAGAGGATTTCGAGGAAGGGTTCGTCGGGAGTGGTACATCCCCATACCAGTTTTGACCAGGGCGGGTCTGGTCTTTCGACCCCAGTCCATTCAGACCACGAGGATGAGCTTGCAGAGATCAAATCAGCCCAGCAGCTTTCGCTGAACATCTCCCCCATCCAGTCCAGCCCAGAGGCCCACCGCTGTGTTCGACAAATAATCCGGGGCGACTACGTTCAGTTTGCTGAAGACGCGAAGAACGGATTGAGAAGACAGCGTGTGTATCTGGTGTCTACTGATCTAAGTGACGAAGCAGCCTATGCTTTGGAGTGGACCATCGGCACCGTTTTGCGAGATGGCGACACTCTACTCGCCGTCTATGCCGTCGATGAGGAAACTGGAGTCGCAACCACGGATGCTTCAGGTGCACCTATCAGTCAAGGTACTACCGGACGGCAGGAATCTGATCATCTCAAACGGACGCTGTCGAACCATGACGGGTTACCAGCCACAAGACCTGGTTTCTCCGCGCTGTCCAGCTCCATAATGGCCACCGAGGCCAACGTGAAAAACATGGGAAAGGCGGAGAAAGACAGGTACCAGGCATGCGTAGAGGTGTCGGACCGGTGCGTCAAGCTGTTAAGGAAGACCCGGCTGCAAGTGCGTGCCGTTGTTGAGGTGTTTCACTGCAAGAGCCCCAAGCACATGATTACTGAAGTGGTAAGATTTCGATCTGGCATCTAGTATTGGACCGGTTTGCTGACAGCCGTTGAACAGATTGACTTCTTGGAACCTACCCTGGTGATCCTGGGGTCGCGAGGCCGCAACGCGTTGAAAGGGTGAGCTGATCTTTACAAATATTACGCGCGCAATTTCTAACTACGGCAGTGTTCTTCTCGGATCGTTCAGTAACTACCTTGTAACCAAGTCGTCGGTACCAGTCATGGTTGCACGGAAACGGCTCCGGAAACACAGCAAATACAAACGGCAGAACGTTCGGATGTCGAACGTGATCGCAGGCTCCAATGACAGGCTCGCAAATGCAAAGATCGATTGATGCCCGTTTGGAAATTTGTCAATTCGCGTTTTGGGGGGTGTTTTGGTCCGGCGGGTGGCTGCCATCGCAAGCCTGAGATTTGAGTTTCCAAAACGTGAGCGGTTTGGCCGGCAGCATCACGTGCCTGGCTTGGTAATGGCTGGAGTCTGGGTTCTGTTTCTCACAACACATGTATCTCTACACAGATCGGGGAGTCAATCTCGTGCCGCGAGTCTATTTATATCAAGATCGTGCTCAGGCA